ATTAGCGCGGTAGTCGTTGATTTTGGTATTGAAAACAACCAAAGAAATAGCCTTGAGGTAGTGTGTTGAATGAATAATCGTACTCTACAGTACTTTTAGAGCGGCAAAGCAATTATTTCAGAAACGAAGGAGACTTTTTTGATTCGATATATCACTCGGTTCTATCATCGCTGGGCACTATTCGTGGCTAATCACGCAGTAGTCACTATTGTCATCTGTACCATATTGAGTTTGGTGGGAACAGCCAAAATTGTCACCACACCGTTAGTTTTCGATTTGTCGTTCACTATGTCTTTCTAATAACTCAGAACTAAACTTTGTCAATTTTTAAGAAATGAGAACGACATCACTGGCTACACTCCGTATGGTGCTAGAGCAAGGGACGAACTCGACGTTAGTTTTATTGCGCGCAGGAGGCAAAAGAAAATTTCTACGAAATATTTTGTGAATTTAAGGTTGCTGGGGAGTTCTTTTCGCGTGGAGGAAGTGGAATTGCAATGTTCTTGTTGATCCTACCTAAAGATGGAGGAAATGCTCTTCGACCGATGATTCTCGATGAAGCATTGACGGTTGATTTTCAAATATAATGCTTTAGTTTCAAATTATCAAAAAAGAGCATCCTGCTGAATGCAATTTTTAATTTTAGATATCTCTTCAAGCAGAAATCAGAAAGGTGTCAATTTTTTTAGAAGGTCGTCTCACATCCATAATCTTAGCTCTTTATGACAACTAGTGAAATTAAGCCAGACGTTGGCACCAAACTCGTCTTTTCAAAAAATACTGATTTTTTAGCCTGGTAATCACTCTTCTTTTCTAGAAGACCATATGCGAACATGACTGCTAGCAGTTATCTTCACGTATGGTTTTCTGGAAAAAAAAGAAGTATCTGCCAAACTCAGTACCGAAGTACCGTAAAACTGTATAGAACATCTATTCTGTTTAAGGTTGAAGATAAAATGTCAACGAACTTCACAATGTTCAACCCGACAACAAATCAAAGCGAAACATATCGCGATTTTTGTTTCAGTTTTTGCCAGATCAATCAGCCTTTTGTACAGTTTGCTGTAAGTTTATACTAAGGTCACTTTTGTAGAAAATTAAATTATTGAAATGTTTTCTTAAGAGTAGCTACATCGTTCAAGGATCCCTTTTGAAATCTGGAGAAGGACGGGATCCTCGAATCGATCTTTCATATCCAATAAGCTCATTTTATGGCCGACAATTGAACATTCAGGCAAGAATTCCTTTT